TAACCAATTTTTAAGTCTATAGTATTAAAATTGAAAAGAAAATTTTGTCTATAAAAATATAACAGATTTTTGTGATTTTTATCGTCCTGTCAGCATTTAATATTCAAAAAAAAAATATTTTTTTATAAGCTCAGTAATTTATAAATTAGTCATAGATAAGTACGAGAAACTTTGTATTACATTTTCAAAACTTTTTATCTATCCAAAGTTACTTTATTGACATTCTCGAAAAATACTAAGAAAATATAACATTTAAAATAAGTTCTAAAAATAGTTCCAAAGAGGTAAAATTAAGAATCTTTGTGACTGGAGTATAATCATAAAGAAAGCATTGAATTCCTTGAAAAAAACTTGTATACCTCAAGAATTTATATTTAAATAATAGCTAGATTACTGAACCAACTAGATAGCAACTATAACATTCTATAATAATACAATGAAAATTATTTAAGTACTAAAAAAAATGCAAAAATAAAAGTTATAATTACTTTTATTTGAAATATTCGGATATGATATTAAGGATTAAGTATATAGGTTGAACATGATATAATGTTTAGTCGATAAATGCGTATTCATATTGAGATATTCATATACATGTGTATATTCTATACTATTTAATTTTATATTATTTTAAATTAACTGTAATTTATTGTTTTATATCGATTATCGGAGTAAACAAATCATTAAATGATTTCCTTAAATAATTAAACGATTCGTTATTATAATATAACATCCGATGAGTAGACCAGAGAAAATTATTATAAACAATCTTATAATAATATCAGTCATGTCCCACATAATAATAATAATAATAATAATAATAATAATAATAGTATGATCGAAACTGGCTATGCAGGGTCTTGTCCATGATATAATTAAATTAATGTCGATTTATTTACATCGTAGTCCTGTTAAATAAACATATGTGATATAACGTAAACCCAGTGGCGAATTAACCTACAAATAAATTAAGCATCTTAAAAAAAAATTGGCCCGTAGAATTTTTGTTTTTTGTATTGAGAATATTCAAAATCTATAGATTTACATACAAACTCGACGATTAGACTAGACCCGGTCGAATATTTTTTAGACAGTATGTATCAAATTATAATACCGTTTATCGAAGACAAAATTAGACTGGCAGAAACAGTCATACTACATTCGAATTTCAGTTGAACTCATCAAAATTACATAGTATACCTACATACGTAAATGTATTTCTGTGTATTTTGATTTAACGTTCCATAAGAGCATTTTTTCAAATACTAAATTTATTAATTTTTCATATACAATGGACGGTGTATAAAATGTTATTGAGACGTATGGTATCATGGAAATTTATAAATATATTACTACGTGTATCATTATGTTATCAAAACTAAATTAAATCCAACAAACGTTATTTTTGTTTGTTCTCGATTTTATTTCAAGTTGCTATCAAAAATTTTAATGGACATAGGAATCAAAGAAATACAAGAAGGATTCAACAATATGTTTAAAAGGTATTCAAAAGATTTCGCTAATGATTTTACAAATTAATTTAAGCAGTTTTTATGTTATTCGATAACGTCTTTATTGTTTATTACTACGAACGAAAATAAATATAAGAACATTTTGTTTAACATATAAAATATGATAATTGATTTAAATAAAACTGAGAGTTATCAAAATTATTAAAAGTTATTACGCGTTTATCTTTCTCTTATGTGTACCAATTCTACTTGTGAAAGATATTTTTCCCGATTAAATTTATCCGTTAAATTTTGGAATTTTGAGCATCGAGAATAGAAAAGAGTAAAAAAGCTAGAAAAAAATAATTACGTATAGACATAGGCGTACCGGGTACGTCTAGGCACTACCCGAGAATTGTATTATATAGCTACTACTGTCAACATAAATTTATTATAAACACGGTGTAGAGGAGATTCTTATCAACACTGGTGATAAGTATGTGCAAAAAATAAATAATACACTTTTATTGTTATTATTTTTTTTTTCTGTCCATTTGATTCTGTTGTAATAGTTCTACTAAGAAAAATGAAATTAGTAAATTATCAACCAAATGGTCGCATACACTTTTTTGTAGTACATAATATTCAATTAATTGATACAATTATGAAAAATAATTTAAAGGCAGGCATGTAAAATTAATTACTAATGTGTATTATCTAGTATTGAAAGGTAATAAAAGTTGAAATGAGGGGTTTACCCCCTCCCAGTCACCTATTTAGTTATTTTCTTCTAAGGCACACCTTGAACTTGAAGTCTGCGCACGCCATATAAATGAAAAGGATAGACAAGTTAACAGATGCAACGATGACAGTGACTCAACGTAATTTTAAACATACATAGGTATAATTTATTATTTACCTATAGTTTAAAAATGTATTTGACAAGATTATATATTAAATAATATTTATATTCATAAATAAAATTATAAAAAATGAAAACGTTTTTTTTTAATCTGTAGTTTAGAAGCTTTAGCTGGTCAATAAAGCTTGAAAACTCTGTACGGCCAATTAGGCCCATCCGACTTCATTGCTTAAAGGCCGCGAAGTATTTGATCCGGCACTGCGTACACCTAATAAAGAGTACCTAATATCTAATCAACGTTACACGAGACGGTACTCGGTGCTCTGTTATCGGCCAATACGTCATTGGAACCGTCAAAGTTCGACGCTCTGCAACGACGTACACATTAAATCGAAACAATCGAACAAGTACACGTGTGGCCGACACGTTGTAGCGATATATGTCTCGATCGCCGACGGCCAACGTCAATCGTGCCCAAGTGTCCGCGTCAACGCGTTACCTACGTCATTAAATACGGTATTGACTTGTCATTGTCTGTAAAAATAAACGGAACCACGAGGTATCGCGTGGTTCTGTTTCATTTCAGCGAGTGTGGAAACGGTACCAGGACGTCACGAACACACGTCGGCGACGGCGGTATGATAAGGCAAATGCGGTGCCCCGAACATTGGGAACCGTGGGCGAAGTCCAATGGAGTGTTCTGCGCATCCTGCGACTTGCGTCCGGGTCGAAAATTTAAAATTGCCCTCATACGCGTCTTTAGTTTAAAAAAAAATTATAAGTGTTAGACATTATTTTCAATAATCGTCGCAAGCAATTAAGGGACGTTGAAGTTTTTTGCAAATAAAATATGCAACATTGACCATTGTAGTTTTTACCTTAAAATGTAAATTTTTCAATTTTGCGCCCTTCTAGGAATCGCGCCGGGGGTGTAAGCATCACTCGCTCCCTCCCTTTATTGTGGTCCTGGTGGGGCCTATTGTTGCCGTGAAAGTGATGGGTATAATCGAACGATTTCAATAATCGAATTATTAGTATTCGAGATATTTTTATAATCGAGATATGTCTCGAAATAATCATTCGAAATGTTTAATTGAAATATAATATATAAATATAAACATAATATCATTTTATTTATAAACGTTCTGAGAAATTGTTGTTTTGTGGTTGAGTAATTCAAAAATTATAGGTAATATAAATAACTAAGAATAACTGTATACCTATCAATATTTGTCTAACAACCAGTCCCACGATTAGCACGAGTCGAAAATATTAAGACTCAAAGTGAACAACTAGTATTTACTTATTTGATTATGAAGATTAAAAATAGTATTCCTTCCTCACTCCTTCATTCCGTGAAAATCATTCGAAATTGATAATCGAGATATCTCGATTATGTCCATTACTACCGTGAAATAATCACGACGACGTCACGACGTAGCGTTGTGGAGAAACGATCCAACGTACGTCGGTCTCCATGCCGAAACCCGCGAAAATAACCTAATGCGCGGGTTATGTTTTCAGTCATCATGCTCGCCAACGGGATGTAAATTGTTTTACATTCAATTGGTACTTTCGTCATCGGATTCGCACTAGAGATGTGTCGTTCACGAGCAAACGGGTCACACTTGTGAACGAACCCATCCGGATTGCAAAAACATAAAAAGTAGGTCAATTCGGTCATTCGTTTAATTCGTTAATTCGGTCAATTTCATTCTCGTTTATATTGCGCTGTTTGTAAACGAATCGACCCGAAATCTGAATAGTCAATAAAAAGTCTATAAATTAGGTGCGTTATTCAAAGAATTTTCAATGGGTGACCAACCATTTTTTTTTTTTAAATAGTCAATTTATAATGGTATGATATACATAAACGCATAATATGTATATTATGTATGATGATAGTATTTCACGTTCGCTTCGCATAATTTCACCCAATCTTTCAAAATACTATCAACTAGGTGATGAAATATTTTCACTGGGCGTCATTTGAGTCGCCTAGTTAAACAGTTTAAAAATTGCTCTGCTTTCATTCGTCCGATTTTGTTTTGATTGCCGCGAATATACCGTTGTTATAGACTAGTTAAAATTCCAAAAACATTTTATAAATCGTAATTCGGTCATGACTCAATCGTTTCCATATAAAAATCAAATCAATTCGTTCAACGCGATCGCACGGAATGAACGAGAACGCTCGATCTAACGGATTTTTGTTTCATCCGGTTTTATGCAGAATTAATTATGCTTTAGTTCGTTCGTCGTCTAATGAACGGATCTTTTGAACGACCCATATTGACCGTCTCCAAGGCTCTCCGCGATTCGGACGCGACACGGTTGAAAAGCGATATGTGCGATTTAAGGTCCACCGAAACGATAATTCGGTCGATCGGGTCAATCGCGTGACTCATTTTTGATGTTTTGTTTTCGTTTAAATTAGTATTAAATTTCAAATCGCCTAACAATTCGCGCGGTACGATAGCCAGACGACTAACAACTGCCGGTCGCGTCGTCATCAAATCACGTCGTTAGCGGTCGTAACGAAAAATCGCGTAGCGCCCCAGACTCGCACACCGAGACAACAACGGATGACGCGATAACGACGCGCCGCCGCCGGTATTATCACGGGTCGTACGCGCTGATGTACGTGACGTTTCGAAACGTACCGTTCGCGCCGTCGTCACGTCATTGCCGTTCGCTATCGGAGTGAGCGAAAGGGAATGAGAGAGAGGTGATCGTTAACGGGTTATCCCCACCCCTCGTGGCCCGCTCATACACACGCTTCCGTTCCGACCCCTTCCACGGCACGTATTTCTGTTCGTCGTTGCCGGACAATAACAATACATCGCGCACCATAGATAACGCGTAATGCGAACCGATTAATTTAACAATTATCGTTCTGCTATTGTTTAGGCCGTGCCCGTGCTCAGTCGGACGCGAAGCAAGTGCGACGCCGACGCGGTTGTTCTCGATCGTCGTTCACTTCGCGCGAACCGTTCGTCCCTCTGGAACATCCAGCACCGTCCTTACCTGCCCGTAGCCAACACGTTCTGCTGCCCCCGGACCCCGTAGTACGAAAACGTGCGCTGGTCTCGCGATGCGTTTGAAGGATCATGATGGGTAAGAGACGCGCGCGGCCGTGCCCAGCTCGTCGTGTTGTTTAACGGTTTTCATTTATGCTTTTGTTCCTCAGAATGCGCCGCTGCTAATAGAGTCGCTGACGACGCGATGGTCGCGAGCCTACAGTCCAGGCGCAAGGCCTTGGAGGCCAAGATCACCGAAAAGAATCGTGAACTGAAACGGTTATGCATACAGGAAGCAGAGTTGACAGGCAGCTTACCGCCGGAAATACCGTTAGATCCTGGCGAAACGCCCCCTACGTTCCGCCGACGGGTCGGAACATCGTTTACTTATCCGGAGAATTTGATCAACAAATTGAAATTCAAAGAGGTGCGTTATGGGATTCTTATCGTTCTAATGATTGCGCAGGCTTCATAAGGTTTTTTTCTTATCGTTTGTCAGGAAGAGTCGGTCGCTTCACTTGAACTTGAGTATAAAATCCAAAAAGGAATCGCTGAAGCAGCACTGGGACTTGCAAATGATGAGACTGCTAATAAATCTGTTAGACGTAAACATAGAATGATGTACCAACAAAGTCAACAACGATTGGCTGAACTTGAAACAAGAATAAATCTGTGCAACAATCAAAAAGTAAAAAAGAAGCCTCGTCCTGAAAGCAGTTATACAACAGGTAATATTTTGTTTTCTTTTATTGTCTATACTTCTTAGTTAAGTAACTTTAGTTTTTACCCCATGAATATTTCTTTCAACTTTAATTTTTATATTTTGAAATATGTTAAATATTTTAAGAACTCTAAATATTCCAATTTAAGATCAAAACAAAGTAAAATTTTAATAATATTTCATTATTAGTTTATTTCTTTATATTAAAAGACATAATTTTTTGTCTTGGGTCTTTTTTTTTTCTTTTTTAATGATTTATGCATGTGTGTTAATTACTTTTTTATTTATTTTTATTGCATGCATGTGTTGTAATATTTAAAAAAAATAAATTTGTTATTTTTTTTTAGACAGACAATAAAAAATATATAATAGATGGATTATTTTGTGTCGCCTGTTGTATTGTACTATTATTTTTCAAAATATATTTTAAAATATTAGTTAAAATTAAATTTATACTATATTGCAAACAATTAGATAAATAATTCCAAAAAAAATCATAGTTAAAAGTTTTCAAACAATTATTTTTTAATGAACATGTAACTCTAATGTAAACTTAACATTTCTCGTAAATCGCTCTTAGAAGCATTATAAAATTTCAGATTTAAATAGATGTACGGCTATAAAATTTTTATTTATTATTCAACAGCCATAAGGATATCCAGTACTTCAGTTATCTATGTTACATACTTGAAATTCAATATTTAATTTATCACTAGTATTTTTATATTTTTCTTAACACTTATATTTACTTTATTTAAAGTCTCTATTATTCTACTAGACTATTTGAATTATTCTGTTTTTTAATTTATTTTCGATTAATTTTTAAGAGTTGATTTCTTATTACTTCATAATCATATGTTCAGTTGTAATCTGTTTAATTTTAAATTAATTTGTAATCCAATGTTTCCATTACTTTTTACTATATTCAAAAAAATGTATAACACCCCTTCGTTCTACTCTTACTATCTACCACTATAACAAAACAAAATATTTTATCTTATATATTTTTTTGCTTGAATAAAGTCAGAAATAATGTTTTATTTTTAAAAAATAGATAAAATATATCTTTAAATTTTTAGTTGTAAATCTATATAATTTAAAATCTTATTTTTTAATATGTAAATTGTTCATTGTTTTATAATATTTATAATTATCAATAAATGCATATACTTTTAAATAAAATACAAACGCTTATATAATATATTTATAATATATTATATTATATTTAATAGTAGTTATAATTATATTTATTATGAGTGTTAATTATTTTTATTTTGGTTTTTGTTAGATTTTGTGAACAATCATTGTGTGACTGATGGTAGTTTTGTGGTACCTAAAGAACCAAATTTGTTATCTTTAAATCCAAAAGTCTTGCCTCACAAAAATAATTTAAGACAATCTCAATCTTACAACAAATTTCCTGGTCAAAGAAGTTCTCATGACTCAAGGTACTTTTGATTTAAAAATTAATTTTTTAAATAAAAATTAAATACAATTATGTTTCATTCATTATTTCTTATTAAGATTATAGTTTTGTACTTTTTAAAGAATAAATGAATTTTTAGAAAATATTATTACCTTTAGTTCAAATTATAATAATTTATTTGAAATCATTTACATAGGAACAATAATTTCAAATTGTATTATAAATGTATATAAGTATATTAAAATTATTATTTTTTTGATGGACTTTGGATACATACTTTGTTTAATGAATAATTTTTTTTTAAAATTCTTTATTTATTTCTAGGATTTCTAATACATGGAATACTCATGAACACATATCAAATTCTAATATGCAGCCAATTTTGTTGCCGAGATCAACAATAAGTCTGGATAAAGATCATGGTAATTTTTTAATAAATTATTTAGAAATGAGTTGTGTAAATAAAAATAATTTTTTTTCAGTTACTTATCCTAAAGATAATGGTATATTTTTTAATAA